GAGGAAGAACTTCTTCCCTCTGAGGGTGACGGAGCCCTGGCCCAGGCTGCCCAGGGAGGCTGTGGAGTCTCCTTCTCTGGAGATATTCCAGCCCCGCCTGGCCACAGTGCTGTGCCCCCTGCTCTGGGTGACCCTGCTTGGGCAGGGGGTTGGGCTGGGGGACCCACAGAGGTCCCATGCTGGGATTCTGTGACCAATATCTCCAGGTCTTTGGACCAAGGCTCTGGGTAAAGTTTCCTTCTCTGTGCCCTTATTCCTCTCCAGCACGTTGCAGTGCCAAGGGCTGGATCCAGCGCTCTCCAGGCCAGTGAAGGAAACACTTACTCTGGGGCAAGTCTTCGGCTTTGAAGATCTTCAGGCAGAAGTGAGCCCCTCTCAAGGTGACCCCGGTGGGGCGCAGGAGGTTGGCCTCGATGTCTTCCTTGTCTTCAGACATCTCCTTCTTCTCCAGCTGCAGGACAACAGGACAAGAGGAAAACACAACCAAGCTTCCCAAAAGTCCTGAAATGAGCAGCAAAACCCCAAAATCCAGCATGTCGCCCCCAGAACAGAGGAGCGTCGAAGCTACAGCTCTCCCGGGAACAGGAATGGAGTTTGATGACCCCGGGTGGTGGAGTAGCAGCGTTGGAAGATGCCCCCATCACAGCAGGGCAATACTCACAGGAGCTTCATCTCCAGGCCCCAGCACGAACAGGCTGACTTTCAGATAGCCCTTGGCCCCCACGGAGAAGTCCTCCGGGTCAGACAGCAGCAGCCATTTTCTGAGGAAAGCGTGTTCTAGGGGAGAAAAGAGATGGAGAACCATGCACTGGTCCTCAGACATGCATGGAGATGGCTTCAAGGACGCTGTTGGGGGGGTGGGGCTATAAATACTATGTTTCTTTTAAATAGGATGAAAGAGAGGAGAGGAGAGGAAGAGGAGAAGAAGAGAAGAGAAGAGAAGAGAAGAGAAGAGAAGAGAAGAGAAGAGAAGAGAAGAGAAGAGAAGAGAAGAGAAGAGAAGAGAAGAGAAGAGAAGAGAAGAGAAGAGAAGAGAAGAGAAGAGAAGAGAAGAGAAGAGAAGAGAAGAGAAGAGAAGAGAAGAGAAGAGAAGAGAAGAGAAGAGAAGAGAAGAGAAGAGAAGAGAAGAGAAGAGAAGAGAAGAGAAGAGAAGAGAAGAGAAGAGAAGAGAAGAGAAGAGAAGAGAAGAGAAGAGAAGAGAAGAGAAGAGAAGAGAAGAGAAGAGAAGAGAAGAGAAGAGAAGAGAAGAGAAGAGAAGAGAAGAGAAGAGAAGAGAAGAGAAGAGAAGAGAAGAGAAGAGAAGAGAAGAGAAGAGAAGAGAAGAGAAGAGAAGAGAAGAGAAGAGAAGAGAAGAGAAGAGAAGAGAAGAGGAGGAGTAGAGTAGGATAGGATAGAGTAGACAAGTTCACTGTTGGACTGGATTGGCCTTTTCCAATCTAAACGACTCCATGCCGCTATGACTCAGTTGGGAGGGACCTACGATGCTCACCCAGCCGCACCGCCTGGCCGCTTCAGGGCCGACCAAAAGCTAAAGCATGTTGTGAAGAGATTCACTTTCTAGGTCTTAATTCTTTACGGCTGAAATTACCGAGATCTGCTCTGCAGTGGAGAGGCAGGAAATTTATCTTCACGATAAAATTGTCTTTGAGATAAAAGCTAAAATAACGAGCAGGGCTCAAGACAAAAAACACCGAGCTGGGCTGTGCTGGTGGGGCCTTCTGCCAGCGAGTCGGTGGCATGGTTGGAAAGACTCGAGGACATGCATCTTGGGGAAGGGGAGAGAAGTGGGTGGTGGTGATGGACACAGGGACACATCAGCGTTCACATCTGGGAAAGCTGTGGGGAGCGCGAGCACGTCCTCTACGTTTGACCCAAAAAAAGGGTTTCCCAAAGCTGCCCTCCCCCAGCCGCAGAAGGTGACCCTGGCCCGGACCCCGACTGCCCGCTGGGCTCACTTGGCTCGGAGTAAATGGTCTCCACGTCCATCTGCACAACAAAACGAAAAAGAAATGCCAGGCTTCACCCCATGGGTCAGGGCGGTGGAGAACAGGGAGGGGAGCGGAGAGAGGGCAGCCTTACCCGAAACTCCCCGATCACCGCGTCCATCCGGAAAGACCGAGAGTCCACCACCTGTGGAATGAAAAGGGTGGAGGACCCTGCTGGGTGCTGTCCTGGGAAACAGGGGACATTTCCCGAGGGGCTGTGGGGAGGGGGACATGGCGACGGCCCCCACCATCACCCTGGCCCTCCCGAGGGCTGGCGTTTGCCGAAGCTCACCGTGATGAAGATGGGTGCGTCGAACAGCTCGGCCGGCGACTCGAAGACGTTGAAGAAGAAGGTCTGTAGGGAAGAGTGGCGAGGGCGCCAGGCAGAGGCCTTCCCCAGCCTCCCCCCCCGGCAGGCACATCCACGCCTCCCAGCCTCTCCCACGCCCCCAACCCTGCAGGCTGGAGCCCCTTCCCCTCCTGTTCGAAGGGAGCCCACCCCGTGAACAGCAACAGCCTCCCAAAGTGGCTGCGCTGGGGGGGTTTGGTGACCCCCAACGAGCAACATCCTCCAGTCTGCTTTTGTTGGGCTGCTCCAGAAAAGCACGTCCAGATCGGCTCTCCTGGAGGTCCCCGAATCAAGCGCTGGGGCAGGTGGAAGCAGGGTCTGGGGACATCCCAAAGGGCAGGACTGAAGCATCCACCATGGGGATAGGGCTGGGGACAAGCAGTCCTGCCCAGGACGTGCCACCAGGATGCTGCCAGCAGCTCGGGGACACATCAGTCACCTCCAGAAGGTAACCAAGATGAGCCCTGAATGAAGGCAGGATGCTGCCAGCAGCTCAGGGACACGTCAGTCATCTCCAGAAGGTGACCAAGATGAGCACTGAATGAAGGCAGGGGATGCTGGACCTACCCAAGGGCTCCCTGCTGCTGCCTGAGCTTCTCTCCCATCGCAGTCCCCATCACCACGTCCCAGCCTCTGGGTTTCTGTCGCTCAGGACCCCAACCCATAACGCTCCCGAGCCTTCCCTGACACCTCCAGGCACATCGGGAGCAGGGACCCCCTCCTCACCTCATCAAAGAAGGGGCTGTTGCCTTTGCGTATCCTGGTCCTCTTGGTCTGCCCAGCGGCCGTCACCTTCACCACGGGCCTGATGTTGACCCCGGGGAGCTGTCGGCCCTCGATGACCCTCACCCTGATCTGGGACAGGAGGGAGGACAGGGCAGTGGGTCACCGGGGCTGATCCTTCCCTGGGATAGGCACCATTCAGGTGATGAACCCCCCCCAGGGACCAGCTGGGGGGCCAAAGGGAGGTGGGTTCAAGGAGAGCAGCTCACCCCCCATCAGCCCCGTCTCACCTGGAAGTCCTGCGCATGTTGTGAAGAGATTCACTTTCTAGGTCTTAATTCTTTACGGCTGAAATTACCGAGATCTGCTCTGCAGTGGAGAGGCAGGAAATTTATCTTCACGATAAAATTGTCTTTGAGATAAAAGCTAAAATAACGAGCAGGGCTCAAGACAAAAAACACCGAGCTGGGCTGTGCTGGTGGGGCCTTCTGCCAGCGAGTCGGTGGCATGGTTGGAAAGACTCGAGGACATGCATCTTGGGGAAGGGGAGAGAAGTGGGTGGTGGTGATGGACACAGGGACACATCAGCGTTCACATCTGGGAAAGCTGTGGGGAGCGCGAGCACGTCCTCTACGTTTGACCCAAAAAAAGGGTTTCCCAAAGCGACCCTCCCCCAGCCGCAGAAGGTGACCCTGGCCCGGACCCCGACTGCCCGCTGGGCTCACTTGGCTCGGAGTAAATGGTCTCCACGTCCATCTGCACAACAAAATGAAAAAGAAATGCCAGGCTTCACCCCATGGGTCAGGGCGGTGGAGAACAGGGAGGGGAGCGGAGAGAGGGCAGCCTTACCCGAAACTCCCCGATCACCGCGTCCATCCGGAAAGACCGAGAGTCCACCACCTGTGGAATGAAAAGGGTGGAGGACCCTGCTGGGTGCTGTCCTGGGAAACAGGGGACATTTCCCGAGGGGCTGTGGGGAGGGGGACATGGCGACGGCCCCCACCATCACCCTGGCCCTCCCGAGGGCTGGCGTTTGCCGAAGCTCACCGTGATGAAGATGGGGGCGTCGAACAGCTCGGCCGGCGACTCGAAGACGTTGAAGAAGAAGGTCTGTAGGGAAGAGTGGCGAGGGTGCCAGGCAGAGGTCTTCCCCAGCCTCCCCCCCAGGCACATCCACGCCTTCCAGCCTCTCCCACGCCCCCAACCCTGCAGGCTGGAGCCCCTTCCCCTCCTGTTCGAAGGGAGCCCACCCCGTGAACAGCAACAGCCTCCCAAAGTGGCTGCGCTGGGGGGGTTTGGTGACCCCCAACGAGCAACATCCTCCAGTCTGCTTTTGTTGGGCTGCTCCAGAAAAGCACGTCCAGATCGGCTCTCCTGGAGGTCCCCGAATCAAGCGCTGGGGCAGGTGGAAGCAGGGTCTGGGGACATCCCAAAGGGCAGGACTGAAGCATCCACCATGGGGATAGGGCTGGGGACAAGCAGTCCTGCCCAGGACGTGCCACCAGGATGCTGCCAGCAGCTCGGGGACACATCAGTCACCTCCAGAAGGTAACCAAGATGAGCCCTGAATGAAGGCAGGATGCTGCCAGCAGCTCAGGGACACGTCAGTCATCTCCAGAAGGTGACCAAGATGAGCACTGAATGAAGGCAGGGGATGCTGGACCTACCCAAGGGCTCCCTGCTGCTGCCTGAGCTTCTCTCCCATCGCAGTCCCCATCACCACGTCCCAGCCTCTGGGTTTCTGTCGCTCAGGACCCCAACCCATAACGCTCCCGAGCCTTCCCTGACACCTCCAGGCACATCGGGAGCAGGGACCCCCTCCTCACCTCATCAAAGAAGGGGCTGTTGCCTTTGCGTATCCTGGTCCTCTTGGTCTGCCCAGCGGCCGTCACCTTCACCACGGGCCTGATGTTGACCCCGGGGAGCTGTCGGCCCTCGATGACCCTCACCCTGATCTGGGACAGGAGGGAGGACAGGGCAGTGGGTCACCGGGGCTGATCCTTCCCTGGGATAGGCACCATTCAGGTGATGAACCCCCCCCAGGGACCAGCTGGGGGGCCAAAGGGAGGTGGGTTCAAGGAGAGCAGCTCACCCCCCATCAGCCCTGTCTCACCTGGAAGTCCTGCGGCTTGTTGGAGAGAGGCTTTTTGGGCGAGCTCCTCCTCCGCTTCACCCCCTGGACGTGGTGGGGCACGGGGGGCTTGCGGGGCAGCGAGGGGGGCTCAGAGCCTGGCGGCCCCGAGGAAGAGGAAGGCTCTGTTTCATCCCCCGTTGCCGCCTGATCCTCCGTCTCCTCCTCGGTGGCCGTCTCTGCACGGGGTGAGAAAGGAGATGGAGGACATCAGCGAGGTGGGGTTGGACATGGTGGACGACAGGTTGACCATGAGCCAGCAGTGTGCCCTGGGTGCCCAGAAGGGCGATGGGATCCTGGGGTGCATGAGGAGGAGTGTGGGCAGCAGGTCGAGGGAGGGTCTCCTGCCCCTCTGCTCTGCCCTGGGGAGGCCCCATCTGCAGTGCTGGGTCCAGTGCTGGGCTCCCCAGTTCAAGAAAGATGAGGAGCTACTGGAGAGAGTCCAGCGCAGGGCTGCGAGGATGAGGAGGGGACTGGAGCATCTCTGCTGCGAGGAGAGGCTGAGGGA